TTTAGGTTTTAGAATACCTTTTAAAAACAAACAGATAAAGGTGGAAAGTACTAAAATGTTAATCTACTCGTCTAGTGCCTAATTGAAGACATTATGGGCAGCAGTGTTTTAAATCTGCATCTATCATTGACACAATTGAGATATGTGAAACGTGTTTTCTATCTTGTTAGTTCCAGATTTGTTAAAGTCTGAGAAAAATCTCTTTACTGGGGTGTCCCATATAAATACACCAAGAGAAGAATGATTTTGCTGCCAGAGCAATAAAACTAGTTTGCCTACTATAACACATCTGAGTAGTTCTTGAGCTCCGGGGCATGCATCACAGGCACCTCCAAATGAAATTAGGCTGTCAAATGTGATTTTAGAGATTTTGTAGTTGTTGTTTTCTCCTTCCTTTGCCTGTCATTGTCATTTAAAGCTTTGCTGTTTCAGGTACTTTTATTGTTTTGTGTAAGGATTAACTCCTTCAATAATGAGGGTTTTTTTTTGTTTGTTTCCAACATTATCCTAAAGTATTTATTATTTACGACGGTGTCCCTTGTCCTTTTGTTTTGCAGTTTCCAATTCACACCATCTGTTCTTGTTTTGCATTGGCCACTAAGTGGGAACATTCAGCATCGTAATTTTGACACGATCATTACAAAATAGAAATTTTCAATAAATTATACTTAGTTCTTGATGAAGGTTAGAGGCACTAATGGGTGATTAGGAAGATGAAAAGCATTATTTTACAATGTGTGCATTTTAATTTGGTGAAATGATCAATGTGCTGTGTTAAAGATACTTCACGCTGTTTTTTTTCTCTGCACACTTTTTCTTTTCTTTTGTTCCTTTCTTCAGATCTAGATGTMTTCCACTATTAATCTCAAAGTATTCTCAAGAGTAGAAATGTCAAACTTTAAATGAATGCAATATACAGCCTATGATGTTGCCATCTAGATGTAAATTTCAACATGCAAGATTCTTTTTTCATATGTATTTTTAACTAGGGTTCAGCTGTCAAATTGGTTAATATAGTACCAAGATAAAAATCAAAAGAGTTGTGTCTATTTTCGTTGTACAAGTGGAGCAGTTCTTTTGGCCCATTGCCATTGTGCTTCCATCACCCAGTAAGTACAGAAGCAGAGCTGAAAGAACAAATATCTCATGAGCTGTGCTGGCTGCCGCTAACCTTAAGAACCTTCATTCAGCCACAGATTGCTGCATGGCAATTCTGAATTACTGACAACTATTCCCACAGCTCTGCCTCATTGTGATAAATGGCTCCAATCTCAAGGAGGTTACCATTACATCCTTGAGATCATGTTAATGGATCTGAGACAGCACAGCTATTCTTTACAATGCTGTGTGTTTTTGTTCAGCTTTGGAATGCATGTTTACCTTTTTTTATATGGGATTCTTTTTTTCAGCTGTTATTTTAGGGAATCAAAAATGGTGTTAACTGTACCTAAAACTCCCTATGTTTAAATTTGATAATGTAGCATTAATGTCTTATTTTATTACTTTAAAACACCAATCTGATGCCTGATGTTGTGGCAGGACTTTATCATCATTAAGCACAGTATAAACAAAAACTTTAGCATGCAAGCTAACAATTCTTTGACCTGTCACCTCTCATGTGATAACAGTTCCTATTTCTTAACTTTGACCGTGTAAGTGCAAAGCAAACATTCTTAAAACAAAACTTAAATTGAAAATTGTCCCTGTACTTAAAAGGAATATGTCAAAAATCTTTTGTGTTAAAGTTCACATTAAGATCCCTGAAGCATTTATCAGTTCAAAATCACAACCCTGTTGCCTCAATACCCCGTAGATTTGAATATACTTATTCATTAACCCCTTCAAATTTGCATAGCAAAAGTACAGCAGTTCCCCAAATCAGAGTAAAATAAATTCACCCATGATCATCTCCTTACAGCTTTAWCTTCAAATTATGCTGCATTCACAACCTCTCCAAAGTGAGAAGGCCATTCATTTACCGTGATGGCTTTTCACTTTGCTTTTAACTGCAAATTCTCATTAGAAGGGTTGTGTTTCACTTCGCATCAAAAGGAAATGTGCTAATAATGCTTCAACACATATTTTGTCCAGTGTAGCTTTTTATGTAGACTCCTAAATTTAACTTAATGTCATTCTTGCTTTTTTTTTTCAACTAAAGTATCAAAATTCCACAATAAACCCAATTTCACAGATCCCCATTTCCCCTAAAACACACAATTTGCATGGTTACATAAAAAACTATGTTTATTTTATTGTCATTATTTTTTGTAATGATTTTGTTGAACAAAAAAATAAATAAAAGATTAATGAATGTATAGTTCAGTGAGATTTTGACAGTCTGCATGAATCATACATTTATCATTTGGATTAAATTGGTATACAACTGTGGGAAGTAAAAGTGATAAAAGTTCACACAGCTCCTACTCTCTTAGACGTGAGAGGGAAAAAAATGTTCACATAAAGTTGTAATCCTGAGCAACAACAGCGCTGTACCTATTGGCTCGGCTCCAGTAAAGGGGGCTGCCTCTGGGTTCGAGTTACCATCTGTCAGTCAAGCAGGTTCTCAGAAACAACCACACACTCCTCTTTACACTGCAAAATTCTGCATCTACAGACATAGAAAGTAATAGTGCTTATATTCCCTCTGTGTTTTATAATACCAGAGTTGTCAAATGGTGTACTTTTTTATGTACACAGATATACCAAAGGTATTATGCTTTAGCAACCACATAAATAAACAGAGCTGAAGATCTGGTGAAATCAACGAGAAAACATTGATGCTTTGCACTGTATAAACTGTTTAGTCAGTTTACAAAGCAAGATTTTATCAATAAATATTTTTAAAAAGCTGWTTTATGTGCCAGAAGTTTGATAAATACTTGGAGTACTTCATTTTGCTTTTGCAGAAATGCACCAAAAACCAACTCTCAACATTAGCTGCATATCATTACACGCCTACAACGAGTCCCACGCAGGCACACACAACTTGAGGAATCGCAGATGACTCAAAGTGCCCGTCAGGAAAGTGTTGAACAGCGCTCTGCAAACTGAGAAATAATTCCACCAGTGTCCCTCACAGTCCTCCTTCTGAACCAACAGATGTGTTATATTAATATTTGCACAGAAGAGACAGCAGCAAAACCTTACAGCTCGGAGGAGAATTTGATTGTCAACACATGTTCAGCACAGCACTGATTTCTGGGAAATTATCCACTGGGATTCAGCTTTATAGCTAAAGCTGTCAAAGGTGAATTTTTTTTTCTATAATTGCTATACTTTTTATGCTGTTGATCGCAGTCTTTGCATCTTTGTTTGTAATAATAAGGAATTTCTTGATGTTTTTTTATGTAATATCACACTCATAGGATACAATACATCCACAGCCTGACACTTTCCTAACTTGTGAAGGAAAAATACATTATAACCTCAAGCTTATGTATACTGTTTATCTTTGCATAAAAATATGCCTCTTTTCTAGAAATAGGTTCTCTCAGTGAGAACGGATAAAAGTTTTAAATTGGCTACATTTTTGCAATTATATAATATTTGTTGGATGTAAAATTATTTATGTGGTTTGCTGTGAATACTTTACACTCTCCCAGGTGGACCAATGCATTTCCAAGAAAACAAAAATATATATAAATAATTCAATAAACTCCTGTTAGTATGTTTACCAATTCAAATATGAGAATAATGCCAGCAATTTGACTAATGAAGCAAAACACAATACTCATATCAATGTAAAGAAAGATAAATGATGGTATCGTTGCAATGTGTGCTTGACTGCATCATACTCATGATTACCATTGCCAACATTAAGTAGATTTGTTTATTTATAGTATTTCACATAAGCTGAACCAGCATAAACGTGCATTCTCTTTTGTTTTGTGTGCGCAGTAATCTCTTGTTTACTTCTTAGATGGATAAGGCCATTCAAGTCATTATAGTGGCCTATTAAGTCTACAAGTTATTAATTGTAGGCAAAACTGCATTTTTAATTGGRTCCTTGTTTGTTATGGAATGCATCTGTTGTTGCCTTGCATGCAGATTTAGAGCTGCTTAAACCGGAGGAGGCATAATTTATTAAGAGAGGGAGGGAAAAAAAACACTCCATAAATGAGTAGCTGTACTGCAAATTAGCCTATCTTAAGTTAGGATACTGGACCTATTATTCCCCATCGGTGTTTTGTTCTGAGTCTTTACACTCACTTAAATGTGATTTAAATCTGGAAGCCTGTGTTATGGGAAAGTAATTTCTCAGTAGGTTCTAACATATTCTGTTATCAAAAAAAGAATAAAAAAATGTGCTCAAAAGCCTCTTGGGCCTCAATGTAATTTCACAGAACCAAGTATTAAATTGTGGTAAAACATCTCCTTATAACCTAACACTGAATATTTACCACACTTATGAGAAAAGTTAATTGTTTTTCTCTGTTTCCCTCTCAAGTAGTTTGAAATGATCACTCAGAAATGTCTTCTTGAATAAACTTTTTTTTATTATTCTAGGAAAGCAATATCTCTTTGACAAATATTAAAACCTCCTACTTATATTCTCCACCTGTCAGGGTTTCAGCTTAATCAGAGAACATAACACTTGGAGTTGTGTTCTTGGCATGAAAAAGCAGACTGGTTCTCTGTCAATTCAGAAAGCTTTTCTAAGCAGAAGTATTGATGATTCCAAGCAGTCGGTTCATATTGTTTCATTTTGCAGACATAATAAAAGTTTCACATTTTTCTGTATTGCCTTTACAAAAAGTTTTCTTTATTTTCTCCTTGAAACCTGTCTTTTGTTCAGACCCTGCTCTCTACATCTCCACATTTGTCTTTCCACTCACATCATCTTTGCCTTCTATTCCTGATTAAAATGCACAATCTGACCTCTGCGCTTCACTCTTCTCTCCCCTCTTCCTAATCTATTATTTCCCCGCTCCTTCTACGCCTCCTTGCCGTCTCTCTCCCATCTCTTCTCCTCCTTTCCCTTGAATGCCGTTTCCCCGCAGTGTCCTGAGGGGCTGAGGCCAATGAAGGATGGCTCGGGTTGCTATGACTACTCCAGAGGCATCGACTGCACGGATGGCTTCAATGGCGGCTGCGAGCAGCTGTGTCTCCAGCAGCTCGTACCTGTCGAAGACGACCCCAGTTCCAGCAACGTGCTCATGTTTTGTGGGTGAGAATAACCAGCTGTAAAAAAAAGATAAATAAATAAAATTTGAAGTGTGCCTGCAGGCTGGGAACAACACTTCCTTGTTAAACACATTTTATGAGTGATGCTTCAGTGAAGGGATTGCTAGTCAGGCAAGTACCTCACAAAATAAAACTCCCAGAAAGCACTGTGCTGTATGGAACCCAAAGCTTCAAGATTATTTGGCTACAGTGGTGAGTTCCCCATTCTTTTAAAGTTTTATCGATTTTTTTTTTAAAGGTGGGGCAATTTTGTGAAATGTAAATAAAATAGAATGCAATGACTTAGACATTTCATAAAGCCATTTTTATTCACAATAAAACAGCATACCCAGTGTTAAAACTAAGGATTTGCACAGTTATTTGAAATATATACAGTTTAATTTAAATTAAATAATTTTTAATTCAGAAAAAAATTATTAGAAACTGTTGATAAAATAGAATGCAATGACTTAGACATTTCATA